GTTTCCACCCTGAGTTTCCCTCCACTGCGATGGGCAAACGTTCCGGAAAGGTATTTTGGGGAGAGAAGCGGGGCTGATTCCCGATAGTTTCACAGAAGCTGGGAACGTCAGGCGGACCCGGAGACAGAGAATGGGCGCGCAGAGGAGCATCGGGAGCTGGGGGAGAAACTTGGAAGTCAGGTGAATTAAATGAAGGGGCTGTGAGAGGGGAGGCCACAGGGAAGAGGTGGGTGCTGCAGGGCAGGTCAGCAGACCGAGTGGGGTGAGGGCCCTTGGTGGCTGCTGGTCTCAGCAGCCTCTGAAGCGACAATGGGGGGCTTCAGACCAAGGGGCTGGGTCACGACTGGGGCACGGGGCCCCCTCCAGGGGGCTGACGGCGGAGGCAGTGCTGGTGGTCCCTGAGGGTGGTCTGCCAGAGGAGCAGGGGCTCTGGGAGGCAGAGGGAGTAAGAGAGAGGCGAGAAGCAGCCGGAATGAATGAAGCCGGGCACCACGAGGAAGGGGGCAGGACTACTTACTGGCCACGTGCTCGGTTTCCCAGCTCCGGAGTTGCGGGTCTCAGTCAACATTTCCTCACAGTTCTCAAACCTCGCTGAACTTTCATCCACGCAACCTGCAGGAACCTGGTTCTGGGGCCTGGAGATTTCCCCTGTGGCTGGGTTTGGTCAATTCTGAGAAGTGTCCTGTGCTTAAAAAGAACATCTGTTCCCTCTGCTTCTGAGCTGCTCAATGAGGAGCTCGGACTACCTCCCGTGGTCCCGTCATGCTGAGATTTTAGGGTTGTGTCACGTGGAATGTTCCAGATCAAGGATTACATCTGAATTTCTTGTCTTGTTCTTTTACTTGCAACCTTCATGTACCCTGCACTTGAAGTCCTTTAACCAGCGAAGAGGTGGATTAAAAAAAAAAAAAAAAATCTTGTGGGGCGCCTGGGTGGCTCAGTGGGTTAAGCATCTGACTCCTGGTTTCAGCTCAGGTCATGATCTCAGGGTCGTGGGATCGAGCCCCGTGTCGGGGGTCCACATTCAGCAGGGAGTCTGCATGAGATTCTCTCTCTCTTCCTCTGCCCCTCCCTGCTGCACTCTCTCTAAATAAATAAATAAGTTTTTTTTAAAAATAAACTTTAAAAACCTTGTAACTGTCACGATTATTCCCTGTATGCTTATTTGGATGAGTAATATTTGAGAGTCTACCCTCTGGTTTTGCCTTCCTTATCCTGCTTTTACTAACCTTCCTTTTTTGCATTTTTTTTGTTGTGCCTGCCCAGGGTTCCCCTCTACTTCCCACTAGCATTCCCAGAAGTCCTTAGTATAGCCTAAAGCTAATCCCCACCCTCTTGCAAAGTGCAAAGGCCCCAATCCCATTTCAGTATTTACTGCTTCAGTTCTCATTTTTTTAAAGCTCAAATCAGGCATTTACATTTTTTTGCCCAGATATGTGTCATTTCACCTGCTGATCTACCTCTTGGGATAGCTTTCCTGTGTTCTGAAATACACCCCTCAAGATCTGTGGGTGGTGGGGCGCCTGGGTGGCTCAGTTGGTTGAGCGACTGCCTTTGGCTCAGGTCATGATCCTGGAGTCTCCGGATCGAGTCCCACATCGGGCTCCCTGCTCAGCGGGGAGTCTGCTTCTCCCTCTGACCCTCCCCCCTCTCATGCTCCCTTTCTCTGTCTCATTCTCTCTCTCAAATAAATAAATAAAATCTTCAAAAAAAAAAAAGGTCTGTGGGTGGCAAACTTTCCTAGTCTTTCTTCTTGTGGGTGTCCTGTCTCTTGAGGAATTGTTTTTATTTTTAAAGATTTTACTTTTTTAAGTAAACTCTACACCCACCGTGGGGCTCGAACACAGGACCCGGAGATCGAGAGTCACGTGCTCTACCGACAAAGCCAGTCAGGTTCCCTCAGGCCAACGTTTTCAGAATTGTGTAAGAAATGCGCCCAGTTGCTGCTTCCTTCTCTTCGGCGCTGGACAGGACAGCCCCCTCCACACCCGTCCAGCGTCCCTCGCTGCTGTGTCATTGTCGCATAGGTCGCATAGGTCATCTTTCCTGCGGCTGTTTTGCATTTTTCGCTACGACGTGTTTGGGGGCATGGATGTCTTTTTATTCATCCTCTTTCTGATTTACATCGTTATGTCTGGAAAATTCTCAGCACTGTGTCTTCTCATGTCGTGTCCGTCTCCTATCAGAACTCAGCGAGGCCGGGTCATGCTTAGAATTCTAGCTGTCATCGTTTCTAGCTGCGGTCACTGTAACCTTGGTCACTTCTTGGCAGCTTTGAACTTTCTGATTCTGTCTCCAGCAGCATCTAATTCTATGAGCCTTAACATCCACAGTGGGCTGATGGGCGGTCCCCACGTCCTAATCTCTAGAACCTGGGAATGTGACTTTATTAGGGAAAAAAGCTCTCTGCAGATGTGATTAGGTGAAAGAATCTGGGCTGGACTGGATTTAGGATGGACCCTCAGTCTGAAGACAAGTGTCCTCATAAGAGAGAAGAGCCGGAGAGCAGGTCATATGAAGACAGAGAATGGACACTGGAGTGACACGGCCACAAGCTAAGGGACCCGTGGAGTCCCCGGAAGCTGGAAGAGACTTCGGAGGGGGCACGCACGGCCCTGCTGACGATGTTAGACTTCCGGTCTCCGGGGCTGTGAGAGACACATTTCTGTTCTAAGGCCCCCCAACTCATGGTACTTTGTTACTACAGAACTGGCAACACACTATGACATCCAATGTCATTTTTGACGGTCTTTCATTTTTTTTTTTTAGTAAGATTTTTATTTTAGGGTAATCGTCGGTTTGTGGAGATGTTGCAAAGGCAGGACAGGGAGCTGTGGGGTAGCCCTCGCCCGGCTTCCCTGAACGTTACCATCTCACACCTCCACCGTGTATTTGTCACGAGGACACCAAGGCCGGGACAGTGCTATGAATGAAACGTAGACCTTATTTGATTTCCCGAGTTTTTCCACGGGTGTCCTTTTTCTGGCCCACCAGCCCACACTGCGTTCAGTCAACGTGCCTTCGTTGCCTCTGACCGGGGACAGCGCCTCAGCTGCCTTGTTTTCCACGACCTGAGGGTTTGGAGGCGCCCTGACCACTCTTTGGCAGCATGTTCCACATTCCCCTTGCTTTATCCATGTTATACTCGACTGCGCGAACTCCGGCCAACCTTGGGGAATCGAGCTCTGCGGGTGACGCCTGGGGGGTGGATCCTGGCAGTGCGCTCCCTGGTCTGCCCTGTCCTTTCTGTGCGGAGTTCACGCTCTCATCCTACTGGACACGCGGGCCACGTGCCAGGCCCCCGCCCCCACCCCACTTCTGGCCGGGTGTTCCCAGGGCAGACAGGCTAGGGAGCCGCACTGAGTGGGGCTAGGTGGTCTGGACATCTCCACCAGGAGTCCACCGGTCTACAGCAGGAAGATCTTTCCAGTTTTTCGTTTTGGCCAAGCAGGTGCTCCCCTCTCCCACCTGCTGCTTTAGCCGTTGCTTTTTCTGGGGTTTTCTCTGAGGGTTGGTCAGACTCCTTGGTGAGACCTCACTGATGTCTTTGTGGAATTCCCAACTCACGTTCTCTGGACATCAGACGACCAAACAGCCCCCAAACTAGACACCTGATTCCCAGCCCCCGCCTTGGCCGGTGCACACAGCCCTACCCCAACTCAGCCCCAACTTCCATCTCAGTAAATGGCAGCTCGAGCCGGAAGTCTTGGATTGTCTTTGTTTTTTTTGTTTTTTATTTCTGTTTCACCTAAAACAAGTCTGGTAGGTTCTATAGCAGAGCTGGGAACTGACCACACTCATCCTGGCGACGGCCCCTGTGCCCGCACACCCCGATGACAGGGACGGCCGCGTGGTGATCAGTCACCCTGGCCGACAGGCCCCCACACCACCCAGCTGCGGAGACCTCACGTGCTGTGCCGTCCTCTCATGTCCGTGATCCCTGCTCGTCTGTCTGGTCCCTCTCTGGTCTGGGCGCTGGCTTTTTGGCCTTAACACCCCCCACCTGTAGTTCCATGCTTGGAGGGTACAAAGTGCTTTTATTTATGTGAACTGGCCAGAGAGCCCTCAGCTCTCCACTCTGGAACCCCCCGGTTCTCTGCTCCCCTTCTTATGTATTCCAAGGGGATTTTTAAAATCTCTGCTTCTCTCATCCTCCTCACAGCCCATTCTGACCCATCTCATCGATCTCTGAGCACACTGCTTCCCTGAAACCCCCTTTCTCAGGTCGGTCACTGATGAGCCCCCTAGAAGCCAAATCACAGGGTCCACCGACCCGGTACCTTGCGAGCCGTCAGCAGCCCCCCACCTTGGGGTGTTGTATACCCTAGACTCTGTTGGTCACCCAAAACGGCCTCCATTCACTCCTGGGGCCCCTCCAGGCTGGGAGCAGTGGACATCATCTGGCTTACAACCTGGGGCTGGCGAATCCCGGGGGTCCTACCTCTGTGGTGCTTGATGAGGCCCCTTTCACCCTCCTTCCCTAGGACTCTGCCTGGGCCAGACAGGGTCTGAGCCCCCAGCCCCCTCTCCTGCTTGACTGCCCTGTGGGCTGCCCTGCTGGGCCTCAAGGCCAGGGAGCGTCAACACAGACCGAGTGTGGGCTCTCTGGGCAACCACGGCTCCCCCTCCTCCCCACCTCCATTGCCACCTGCTTAGAGGCTCCCCTCTGACCTGGATCATGGCTGCTCACCCACTGGGCCAGCGACTCAGCTTGGCCCTCATGCTCCTAGCTCCTACCACCGAGACCCGGATTCTCCACCCTCGCCAACCTGCCCCACCCCCAGGCTACTCTACCCACTTCCTGTCTGGCCTGATGGCATCTAACTCTGTCGCTAAGCTTCCATGCCTTTATTGCAGTCTCTCTGGGACGGAGGCTCTGGGGGCGGGGCAGCATCTGTGGCAGCATCATCCGCTGCCTCGTCTCCAGGGCCGGCCTCCAGAGTGTGCGCACCAGACAGATATGGCTAAAGGGATGAACCGGGGCGGTGGCCCCTCCACACTCACTCAGCTTTGCTGGGCTTGGGGCTCTGGGCCTCTGCCGCGTCGTATTCCCGCACGTCCTTCAGTTCGCGTACCTGGCCTGTCAGCACCTTGGCAGCAAAAGCCACGATGTACTGTGGGGGGGGGGGCGCACAAGTGAGAAAAAGCCACTTCCCTGACCCTGCTGCCCTCCCGATGGCTGTGTGCTCCTGCCACCGGACCTTTGCACATGTTGTTCCCAGGGCCTAATATGCCCCTCCCTGGGCGTGCCTGAGAAGGGCCTGTGCCTGGACCACTGCTTGGGGACCAATCACAGGGTGGGCAAGGAGCTGTGGGTTGCCGACTCACCAGGAACCAGTAGAGGTTCATGAGGGTTAGCAACAGAAGGAGTGCATTGAAGAAGAAGTAGAAGGGGATGTCAGGCACGGAGCGCAGGCTGCTGTGGCACGTGGCGTACAGAACCTTGAGCGGGAACCAGTAGAGGCGGAACCAGAACCTGCAGCAGGGGGGGGGGGGGGGGGGGGGGGGGGGGGGGAGGCGGGGGGGGAGGGGGGGAGGGTTGCCCCACCTGGGCCCTGTGCTGTCCCACCTGGACTCATCCATCTGTCCCTGCACACCCCCACCCATCCCGGTCCCCCTGCCCCTTCCTTGCCCAACCCCTGCCCATCTGTCTCCATCCCTGCCCAACCCTGCTTCTGCCCTGCCTCCGGCTCGCCCCTGTCCCGCCAGGCCCTGCCCACCTCACCAGGCCCCATCCCCTTCCAGCTTGGCCCCACCCCTTCTCCCAAGCCACACCTCCTCCCCTTCTCACCAGCCCCACCCCCTTCCCTGCCCCCTCACCAGCTGAGGCTGAAGCTGAGGCAGCCCAAGTCGGCCGCCAGAGCATGGAGCCTGTGATGGGAGCCCCCGCGGGACTTGAAGTAGACATTGAGCTTGGTGAATTCCAGCTGCACGTCGCTAATGTCATGCAGGAAGAGCACGAGGATGCCCACATTGTGGTACCTGGGGAGGGGAGTGGGATAGGGCAGGAGAGAGGGTGGGTCGCACTGGGGACCCTTACCCTGCACCAAGGCTGCACACCAAGCCTCCTGTGGGCCCCTTCAAAGCTGCCCTCCCTGGCCTCCGTGACCTGCCCATTTCCTCACCGGGCCAGGTCAGGGGCAGCACCCAAGCTGTGCCTGCACCTTGGCGGCCCCATCCACCCCCTCACCCTCCCTGCCTCACTGTCCCCAGGGGACCCAGGAGCCTCCCTGGAAGTTCCTTGTCTGCCCCTCCTCGTCTCTGTGACCCCTGACCCTCAGTGGCCTGGGCCATTTTGCATCCCCCACAAGTTTGTCCCTCACCTCCAACATCATTGCCACGCTGACCCTCCTAGGTCTGTTTAACCTGAACATTGCTGCAATCTGCAGACCTGCCTAGGGAAGGCCGAGTCCCCACCAGGCTCTAAAGAAGCCTGAAGGCGTCCCCCCGTCCCTCCCCAGCATTCCACCTGACAGCTGCTTGGGCCACTGGACCTGAATTCAGCCTGGACATGCCTGAGCACCTCTCTCACTCTGCCCTCCTGACAGTTCACGTGCCACAGGCCCTTTGCACATGCTATTCCCATCGCCTAACACGCACCTCCCCAGTGTTCACGGAGCCTTCCTTCACCTTTCAGACTTTGCTCACCTATCACCCAACCACCCACACCTCACCACCCCCACGGTCCGTATCTTCCCACTTGATTTTTCTCCATAGTCATCACCTTCAAACAAACTGTTAGTTCTTTTCTTGTCCGTTTGTTTGTTTGGGTCTTATCATCTCATTCTACTCTAGAACATTGCTACCTAATAGAACTTTCTAGAAAGATAGGAATGTTCTAAACCTGCACTGTCCAGTAGGAGAGGCAGCAGCCACACGTGACCACTAAGCAGCTGACATGTGGCTACTGTGGCTGCAGAACAGAACATGCAGCTTTATTTCAGTTCAGTCCGAGCTGACATAGGCACCGGTGGCCGGCAGCTCTAGAGGCGTGGAGCAGCCCGTCCAACGGGAACAGCAGGTGAACCGTGCATGTTACTTCAGACTCTCTATCAGCCACATTTAAACAAGAGGTAAAGAAGACATAGTTAATTTTAACGCTATATTCTAATTAACTCGGTAAGTCCAAAATGTTGTCATCTTCACATGCGACTGATACAATAAAAGGATTGGCAAGAGATACTCACTCTCCACCGTCTTTGACCTTACACGTACGGCAGCTTGAGGTACAGACGGGCCGCGTCTGAGGCCCTCAGGGGCCACGTGTGGTGGCCGCAGTGGGCTCTAGAATGCTAGGGTGGGTTGGCTGTGTTCCTAGCCGCACCCCCTGCAGCAGCCTGGCATGGCCGGTGGCCCAGGAAGCACTTCTGAGTGACCCGGCCAAGGCCGCCACAGGGTTGGAGGGGCCAGAGGGGGACGGATGGGGTATGAGCGGGCTGGGGGTTCTCTGCACCTGATATACCCCATCCCTCTGCAGTCTCTCTCCAGAACCCACCCCCATGGATACCCACTGTGGCCCCCGCCAGCCTACCCTCTCTGCTCATGCTGTGCCCTCTGCCCTCCGGCCCGTTCCCAGACTCACCGGAAGGCATAGGAGGAGATGATGAGGACCAGGGTGACCACATGGTGGATGAGCATGACCACCGAGTCCTTGCGCCAGGCGTCCATGTACAGCGTGGCATAGATGGAGTGGCCGTAAAAGCTTCCTTGCAGCAGGTAGGCGGCTGCGATGTCCCGGGGCACTGCCATGCCCGGCGTCCAGTCTGGGGAGAGCAGGCCTGTGTGGTCAGGGGCCTCCGGGACCCCTCCAGCTGGGGTGCGACCTCCACAAGCCAGGGCGTGCCACCCCCTTCTGCAGGCACACTGGTCTCCGGTAGTCTGTTCCCACTCTCTACCCGTTATTTTTTACGAACGGTTGTTCTTTTTTTGGAGTGGTTCTAGATTTATAGAAAAAGATGCTCCCACCCCTGAAATCTGTCCCTTCCAGGATTTCCAACTCTGGCTTGGTTTCAACTTCCTGTCTTCTCTTACTTATCAGGCTCTCTGGAGGCAGCTTCGATGCCCCTGTCCCAGGCTCTCCCAACCCGGCAAATCCCCCTGCGGGATGGAGGCTGCCACCTGCCTCACCATGCCAGGTGGGACTGCTGACGCAGAAAGCTGACTGGCCAATCCCGTTGTGGATGGGCTGTCCCACCCAGTGGGGTGTGGCTCCCCTCCACCTGCTCCTGAGGTCACCCCATTCCTCCTGGCACCTGTGCCCACCCACACTCAGGCTTCACCCCCTCCCGGTGACACTGACCCTGGCTCTCTCTGTTTCCTCTCTCAGGACCATCACCAAGAGGCCTCGGCCTGCATCGACCTGGACTTCCCTGGCCACTCCTTCTCTGCTCGCACCCCCAAAACAGCTGCCCTGGGCTCCCCGCCAGGGGCTCCTGCCTCCACCCTCAGAGACCTGGAGCCAGACCCTCATGCCACCTGGAGCCTGGCTGTCCCCTAACCCCCATGCCCAGTGCCTCGCCTCGGCGACACTTCTTCATCTGCACCTTGACTCCTCATGCAACAGGGACCCACCCACGTGGACCCCCATCCGGGGGCCCCTCTCTGTCCAGGCCTCTGCTCACTTCCCCTGCCCTCGCCACCCTGACCCTGCTCCGGGCACCGTCTCCCGCTCAGCTTGGCCCCGGCTCCTCCTGGCCTTCCAGAGCCTGTCCCCGACAGTCCACCCTCCCCATGGTGGCTGCAGTGGCTGTGAACACACGAGCCCCATGTGCTCCAGCAAGTCCCTTCCTAGTAAGGTGCTCAAGGGAGCTCAAGCCAGGGCTCCTTGCACACGCAAGTGCACAGTAGCACCGCGGGCCGCCACCAAATGGTGGAAGAACCCAAGTGCCCACCAACGTGTGAGTGGGTGAGCAAAACGGCCCTGCGCACAGCGGACTACCACCCGGCCGTACAAAGCTGCGAGGCACCAGCTCCACTGTGGTGTCGATGAACCTCAAAAACACGGTGCTGAGTGAAAGAAGCCAGACACAAAAGGTCACACAGAGCATAATCCCCTTCCACGTCTAGGAAAGGTCCAGAACAGGCAAATCCGTAGAGACAGAAAGCAGATCCGTGGTTGCAGGGGGGGCGGGGGGGGGGCCTGGGGAGTACCTGCCCGCGGGGACGGGGTCTCCTTCAGGGGGGATGGAGGCACAACACGGTGAATGTGCTACGTGTGCTACTGACATGCCCACCTGAACATGGTGAATATTTAAAAACCGTGGTAAGACACGTACCACGTGAACACTGACACCTCAGCCATTTTTCCTTTCCGTGGCACCACTGTGTTCGCACCACGGCGCGGCCATCTCCAGAACGTTCCTCGTGGTGCACACCTGAACCTCTGTGCCCATTAAACCCCGGCTCCCCGTGCCCTCCCCGAGTCCTGGCTTCCATCTCCACTTATCTGGCTACTCCAGGGACCTCATGCAAGCGGACAGTACCGGCGACTGGCAAATTATGGTTGACTTTACGTCATGTATATTTTACCTAATTAAAAAAAAAATGCACCCCCTCCCACAATGGATCTCCTCCCACCACTTTATCAGGTCCAGGGGCTCCTCAAAGTCTGACAGCAAAATGCACACTTCTGGCAGGACCCTCCCTCTGAGCTCTGTGGGAATGCTGCAGCCAGTGGAGCCCCCCCCAACACACACACCTGCCGGGCGCTTCTGTCCCCCTTGAGAAGGAAGGGATGTAGAGGCGCCTCAGTGCACAGAGCCAGCCCGCTGTGGAAACAGGACACCGAATTTTCCACCAATCGCACTGGCAAGACTTTTACCATTGGGCGAGCATCCCCCTCCACCCTCGAGCCCTGGATCTGGGGCGGGGTAGGGAGAGTGCGACACACATGGGATCCCCCCATCCAGACTCCGCCTGCACCTCCCTGCACTCGGGGGGCCATGGAGCCCCAGCCTGCTCTCCGCATTCACATCCAACCTGCTGCTCTGGATGCTTCGTGTCACCCCCACCGCATCCCCCGCCCCGGCCTCTGGGATCAGCTCCTGCTCTCCCTGAAACCTGCTCCCTACCCCGAATCCCAGTCCCTGGTGTCATCCCCATCCATCCTCCCTGCTCACCCCTGCCTCCGGCCCGGCAGGGGATCCTGTCAGTTCTGCCTTCAAAACATTTCTCAAGCCGGCCATTTCTCTCCCATTCTGGGCCCCATCCTGAGCAGAGCCTCCTCATGTCCTGGCTCCTGCCCTCAGCCCCCTTCTCAGTTGGGCCTGTCAGTACCCCCCGCTGCTCACAGCCCCCCCCCCCGGTAGCTACCCCCTGTCCTGGGGGGCTGCTCTCTGCCTCTGAGCATCCTGCCAGGAATGTGCCTGTCCCATGGTAGCCCTTGCATTCCTATCTGCTCCAGGCACCTCCAGGTCCCCATGCAAAGGTCACTTTTGGTGGGGCCATCCCCATGTCTGTAGAACATTCCCCGCCCCCCTGTTTTCTCATCAGCTGTTAACAGATTTTGTACTTAACTGTCACCACAAGACATCAAGGCGGGGGCACTTTCTCTGGAACACTCACAGCCCTGTCAGCACAGTGGCTAGTACACAGTAGGTGTCCAATAAGTGCACATGCAAAGCAGCAGCTCACCTGCAAGCATGTTATCACAGCATAATTTAAAAGAAAAAGCCAGAGGCAACTCCATGCCTGAAACTGACAGGGATCTATGGTGGTTCAGTCACACAAAAGGAAATTGAATGACAGCTAAAACCTGCCCTCCAGCGGTTTATAACAAGGGCAATGCACATGGGGAGAGTGGCCATGTGGGCGAGGCAGTCCCACCAAGACAGACAGGTGCCCAGCAAAGCTCGTCACCGGGAAACTGAAACACAAAAGCTCTGTGCCCAGCCCTTGGACGGGAGTGTGGGGCTTGGTGCCACCAGGAGGCTTCAGAGACTGTTTACATCCTGTGGCAGGAAACACGTCCATGTGTGTCCCTGGTACACAGCCTGAGTGGTCAGCACAGGAATAGAGAAATCCCGACACCCCCATCACAGATTGGGTTTTCTAGAACAGCCTGCCTGCAGGCGATAAAGGACACTACAGTCACCTTCCTGCCTACCCCACCAAGCTCAGGCCTTGACGACCCCCACATCTAATCCAATCAATGGATACAGCCATTTCTCACCATCCTTATCTCTTCGCCAAGCTGGTCCAAGCCACATTAGTCCCTCACCTCCCCACTGGGCCCTTTCTTCCTTATATGAGACTCTCCTGCCTCCACATAGCAGCCAGAAGAAGCAGCTTTTTATGATCCACAAACCCATCCCATTTAGAATGAAATTCAAACTCCTCCTACCCTCCTCTCGTCCTCACGCACCAAGCTCAGGCAGGCCCCAGGGCCTTTGCACATGCTGTTCCAGACACCAGGAATGCCCACCTGGGTCCACACAAGGGGTCATCTCATTCAGGACACCTCCCTGAGCCCTAATAGCACCAAGTCCTAAACAGAACCCTTTCCTGTCCCCAGAGCCCTCTAGGCACCCTTGTCTTGGGGCTACCTTGGGGTGGCCCTATCTTGGGGCTGACATCCAGCATGAAATGTGTGATGAGTGTCCAACTCCCCCATGTCAAGCAGAACCCTTCCCCACCCTGCTCTGTCCAGCAGGGCCCCTACCGTAGAAGACAGAGGGTGGGTCGTGAAAGAAGGGGTAGTCAGTGCCGAAGAGCAGGTAGGCGCTGTAGCTCCAGGCGCCCAGATAGAAGAGAAACTTCCAGGCGCTCTCGGGCATCTTGGCAGCATCTCTAGGCTGGAGGCGACACCGCTTGGCCAGGGGCTATATGGGTGAGAAGGCGGTGGCCATCAGTGCTGGGTGCCAAGGGCCAGGGACCACTCCTCCAGGGTGGGGAAAGCCAGGCTCAGGTGCTCTCCAGGCTGGGCAGTGTTGGGGAGGGCCAGGCCCTGGTACCCACTGCCACCTGGAGCGTAACCAGAGCCCACGTGTGCCAGCCAAGGGCTAAACTTAGTGCCCAGCTGTCCGGCACAGTGTGGGGAGGGGAGTGGGGGGAGACCTGAGAGAAACGTAAGGGAAGGCCATGGCAGAGAGGAAGGGGACATGTGAGTACAGTGCAAGAGAGACCAATGGGGCCAGCCCAGGGGAGGTGGGGGACTTGGGGTTCCCAGAGGGAGCTGCGGCTATACCAGGGAGGAGGGGAGATTAAAGAGAAGATATGGAGGGGCCTGTAGGGGCAAAGCTGTGAAGAGAGCATGGAGGTGAGTATGTGGGCATCTGGGAAAACATGGGGAGGCTGGAGCCCCACGTGATCCCCACCGGGGAGAAACCTGAGGGGAAGGTGTACCTCGGAGAATTTGGGGGTAGGCTAGAGAGAAAAAGAGGTTGGGGAAGATGGGGTGGGTACATGGGGGAGCATGACAATGTAGGGGGACAAAGGAGAGAATGGGGCAGAGAAAGAGGGGGCAGGGCAGGGAAAGGATGTACAGTGAGATAGGGGACATGAACTGAGTCACCTAAGGACACACCAGGGAGGACTGGAAGAAAGAGAGGTCACGTAACTGTGAAGTATGGAGGAACCTGAAGGGCGCAGCTCCCCAGGAGTCCAGGTGCCCCGGCCTCCAGCTCCCTGGGGGCGGGGCTCCAGAGCTGCTGGGTCAAGCCCGCCCCCTTCCCGCGAGGAGAGGCTTGTGGGGGCCGGAGCACCAGCGGTTGCCATGGAGACAGCCAGAGCCAGTTCCAGTCACCCCTGGCAACCAGGCGGCTGCCAAGAAGATGAGCTTTGGAGGAAAGGGCAGCCCCTCCACCCGTTTCTTGGGAAGGGCGAGCCTCGAATTGCTCTTGCCCCACCCGGACGGGCCGCACTGGCCAGAGCTCCCAGGATTCCAAAAGGGTGGGTGCACATGCTCTTTCTGTCCCCCACCAGGCTCCCTCATTGCCAAGCCGCCTCCTCAGGGAGGGCACCCGCTACACTCTGGTTGTCCCAGAGCGACCACATCCCCCTCCTGGGCTCTGACCCTCAACCTCCTGGACCTCCCACTTCCCAGCTGGAAACTGGGAAAGCAGGGGGACCAACAAAGCCAGATGGGGACCAAGGCTGACCCGTGGAGGGGCCTTGATGCCTGCCTCCCCCTGCCTGGAGAAGGGTGGTGGCGCGGGGGGGGGGGGGCTCTTCCCCATGTGGGTGATAGGGGATGGTGGTGGGGACAGTAGTCTCCAAACAACGCCCTATCCTTGACTTAACAAGGGCCAGCCTCTTCCCAGCCAGCAGAGAAAGGCCCCTTTGTTGGCGCCGGGCTCTCTGTCCCTGCAGCCCCTGCCACCTCCAGCCAGATTGGGGCGGGGTGACCCCAGTCAGTCCATGAGGGAGTCGCAGCCAAGCTAGGGGCCCAAATGCCTTCTCACCAGCTCCCATAGCAGCGACCCCTCCCTAAGGATGGGAGGGAGGCCTGGCGCCAATGTCACCCACAGGGTCACTCTCCACCTGGGGCGGTAGCCTCCCCAGACTCGCTAGAAACCGGGTAATTCGGACGCAGCACCTTGGAGGCAGCCCAGTTCAGCTCTGAAGACCCAGGCCGTGCCACCTCTCAAAACTGCGACCACCGGCGTGGCTGGGGGAGTCCAGGCCTTTGCTTCCCCGGGTCGGAGGGTGGCGCTGACTCCAGACATGCGTGAGGTAGCGACCGGGTAGCTCCTGCCTCCTTCCCGTGAGCAGCGGACAAGTCCGCTCCGCCGCCGCGTGGACCTCGGGCCCCGCTCCGGTTCCGGGAGCGCCCCGCACGGCCCCGAGGCTCAAGGCGCAGGCGGCTTCTGTGTCCCGAGCCCACCCCACCCGCGTCCTCCGCTCCTCCGTCCCCGATTCGGCCCTGCCCGCACCGTCCCTCGTCCCGCACCGACCGGCGTAAGTCGGCCTCGGTTCCCCCCGCATCTCGAACACCCCGCGTTCGTGTGGGGGTCCCCACATCCCGGGCTTGCTCCGGCT